AGTTGACAGTAACTTGTTAAACTCGTTTTTATCCTGTTTATAGACATTAAATTATGCTAATTTTCTGCTGAATATCTTAAATGTAAAAGTAAACCTCTCTCTTGTATGCCTCTCGTTAAAATAATGTCAATGAAAATTAATTTAAAAGATGTTAAAAGTAATCAATGAAGTTTAGAATTTATCTAAATTTGTGTTAACATAAATAAACTGCTGCCTTTACTACACAAACTGCAATATTTAAGCATTATGCTGCAAGCCTTCTGTGATGTGAAACAGTGCCCTGAATAAGTACAGTAAAAACCCACCAATAAGAATCTGTGGAATCACACAGGAATCAGTAGCTGTGGTATAGGTTCTTATTTGGAAAATAATTTGCACTGCATTGAACGCAAAAAAAACCTGAAATTAATCTTACCTTTCTGACATAATTACCTGAACATGTTTTTCAAACAAGAGAACANGTCCCCAAGGACAACGGTCAGTTGACAGTAACTTGTTAAACTCGTTTTTATCCTGTTTATAGACATTAAATTATGCTAATTTTCTGCTGGATATCTTAAATGTAAAAGTAAACCTCTCTCTTGTATGCCTCATTAAAATAATGTCAATGAAAATTAATTTAAAAGATGTTAAAAGTAATCAATGAAGGTTAGAATTTATCTAAATTTGTGTTAACATAAATAAACTGCTGGCTTTACTACACAAACTGCAATATTTAAGCATTATGCTGCAAGCCTTCTGTGGTGTGAAACAGTGCCCTGGGTAATTAGAGTTAAAACCCACCAATAAGAATCTGGTGTTTACAAACCTGTAGGCTAAAAGATCGCCCTTACAACTACCATTTTATGGGAGGCGCAGTGGCACATGGTTAGTGCGCTTGTCTCCAGATCGAGAGGTCAATGCTGGGGGTAACTTTGCGATGGACTAGCATCCCATCCATGGGGTAAGGGGGCGGGGGGGAAGAGTAGAAAAACTCCTAGTCGCTTCATGCTGCAGAAACTGGGATAAGCTCTGGCCTGATGGGTCACTTGGTTCATAAGGAGACTTCATAAGAATCTGAGCTTTAGCTGTGATATAGGTTCTTATTTGGAAATTAAGTTGCACTGCATTGAACGCAAAAAAAAAAAAAACCTGAAAT